GTGACTCTGAGCGGAGGAAAGACCAACAAGACATCAAACTTCGTGAGCGACAAGACGGCCTTGGCCACGGAGGCAGCGCAGGATGTGAACACCATTGGCCTGATCATCAATCCCCTGGAAAATGCCACGGACTTTGACGACGAAACGGATCTGGAGGAGCCCCGAATCGAGATCCCCCACAAAGAGACGCCGCTGGAGCAAAAGCTCGCGTGTGCCATGGACGAGAGCGATCAGCCATCAGCCCAAGAGCAGCCGCCACCGCCGTCGCAGCAGCAGCAGGATCAGTCGTCGCACTTTGACCAGGACATAACCGACAACTCCGATAGCAGCGACTTCGAGTCGGACTCGGAACTGCGGGAAACCAGTCTGGAGAAGGAGGACAGCATCACGGTCAGCTCCAGTGCCGGGGTCAGTGATGATGTCAAGCGATTCGTGGGTGACTGCGAGCGCGTCACGGAGGCCCTTACGCAGCATGAGAAGATCAAGAGTCGCAAGACGTACCGTCTCACCCGAGAGAAGACTCCTGGCGAGAACAGTCTGAACTCTGTGGCCACAGACCAGACAGAGCACAGCTTGGCGGACATGCATGCGGATGCCCTGCCAGCGGATGAGTACTTCCGCGAGGACAAGAAGCTGGGCAAGCGCAAGAAGCTGCTGACAAGCAGCGACAAGAAGAGGCTGAGCTGCATATCGAAGACATCCACGGACAGCAACCTCAGTAACTCCTGCTCCCAGGCGGAGCCTGCTCCGGAGGGCGATCCTCAGGGCGAGGAGGAAGCAACAGCAGCCACAGACTCCACCATCAATGTGGAGGACAAGCGACGCAATCTCAGCCTGGAGACTAGCAAACTGCAGCCCGACTGGCAGAAGGCCCTGGAGAAGGGCAAGCAGAACGTGGAGATCCTTCGACAGAATGCAGCGGCGGCTGCTGCCGCGGAGGAACAAACCAGTCTGCGCAGCTCCATGAAGAGCAGCAGCTCCCTGGCCGACGCAGCCCATTTGTACCACAACCACTTGCTCCTCTATTTGGCCATCTACGACACGCGCCAGACCTTATACGCCCTGCAGACTCTGCGCAATATCATATGCTGCGACAAGCGCACCTTCCTCTGCCTGTCCATTACCACCTCCTTCTCGAGCGCCAGCTTGAAGCAGCTTCTTGTCCGTCACCGCAAGAGCATCTCAGGCAAGGGATTCGATGGCAGTGTGGGCAACTCGGAGTATGCCCAGGGCTATCGCGGATGCATGCAGTTGGAGCTGCTGGTCACGCTGTGTCTATTCTATGCTCGCGGATACTTCCAGCGCGAGTCACTGGACGCGCAGCGGCAGTCGCCCACTCTGCAGGATATTGTCAATAACCGCAGGATCCAGCTGGAGAGCATTGAGCTGTTGACCCTGATTTGCTCAGAGCTAATTGAAATCGTGAAGGGAATGGGCAGAGGTCTGGCATGCTACATAGCCGATCTGCTGGCCCGCGCCAAGCTGCAGAAGGTTATGTTGCACTGCCTCAACAGCTCTGTCTGTAGCTACGGCCGCAGAGCACCCACCGGAAGCTATGCCGAGCAAGTTCTCAGCTTCAACGACCCGCAGGACGATCAACTGCACGCGGACTGCTTCCAGCTGCAGCTGCTGCGCCTCCTCCTGTCCGTGATTCGGCTGGAGCACGAGGTGCACCAATTGCGGCAGGACACACCGCCCGCAGCTGGCGATGACTCGACGGGCAACACCTCGCCCACCCGTCTGGCAGAGGGAGCGGCGGCCAATGTCAAGTATCTGCCCAACTGCCTGATTAGCCAGCAGCCCATGTTCCTAGCCGCCGTCTTGGGCGCCTTGCAGCAGGAGCGGCTGCGCCACCTGCACCGCAACTGGACGGACCTGGTGACCTCATCGCTCAACTGTTTCACCTTCGGCTCGCTGACCAACATCGTGATTAGCGTGGTCCATCAGCTATGCAACAACCTGGACCGCATGGCCCGACTTGGCCTACAGCAGCAGCGTCATTTTCCACCCGACTACGTCCTCTCGCAGCTGGAGGCCCTGACCATTCTCTGTCATTACTGCCTGCTGGACAACACCCAGCAGACGGCCCTCTCGCATCTATTCAACCAGGCCTATCCCCAGACCAGCTCCTCGGCCCAGAGCTCCAGCACTAGCCAGCTGCTGAACAGCTTTGTACACTCGTTCCTCTCGGCCAACGAATCGTCGACCGGCACATCGGCACCGGCACCGCGCAATCCGCAGCTGCAAGCTGCCCGCAATGCAGTGCTCTCGCACCTTCCTAGGATCATGAGCAGTGTGGCGGCCATTTGGGACAGCGAGCTGGGACAACTGCGTCCCGTGCGACAGCAGTTGATGGAGTTCCTGTCGCCCGTCTCGCTGCATCATGGCTGCAACTTCCTGGCCGCCGTGGCAGTGACTTGGCAGCAGAGGGGCAGCAGTAATGCCTCCAATGGCAGTGGACTGAGCATCTCCGACCAGTTCCAGCGCAACTCAACCCTTCAGGCCTGTCCGGGACAGCTGTCGCTGGTCTCTCTGGTGTCCAGTATACGGGTGATGCCCATGGATTCGTTTGTGATGACCCTGCATCAGGTGGTGAGGTCTCCACCGCCCATCCATCGGCCGCCCGCCCATCTGAGCATCGAGGTGAGCGCCCTGGAGCTGTTCTACTTCTACATGAAGTCTGCGCCGGGCACCCAGCTGGCTGACGCCTGGAGCTCGCTGCTGGCCCTCATTCGAGACGGACTCAATCTCTCGCCGCCGGCGCAGTTTGCGCTGCTGATGCTGCTCAACGAGTTCGTGCAGCGGTGCCCTCAGATGCCGTTCCAGGACAAGAAAGAGGTGAGGGAGCTGCACGACGTTACCTCGCGGCTGGTGGACTCGTTGTCGGGTGTGGCCGGATCCTGTCTGGAGCAGACCACATGGCTGCGTCGCAACCTGGCCGTGAAGGAGGACACCGATGGTCTGGCCAAGGACAACAGCATCGGCGGCGGTGGCGGCATCCAGCAGTACTCGCTGCAGGCCCAGAGCGTCCTTGCCACTATACTCTCGAACCTGTTGGACGTGGCCTACGGGTCGCAGGAGAAGGACAAGGTTGTGAACATTGTAACCCCTCTGCTGTACAACATTACGCCCTATCTGAAGAACCACACGGCCCGCAATGTGCCGTTCTTCTATGCCTGTTCGGCCCTCCTGGCCAGCCTCAGTGGCTACCAGTACACGCGCAAGGCGTGGCGCAAGGACATGCTGGACCTGCTCCTGGACAACTCCTTCTTCCAGATGCACATCTCGTGCCTCCCCTTCTGGCGCATGATCATGGACAGCCTGATGACCTACGACAACACCACGTTCCGCGAACTAATGACCAGGGTTTCGCTCTCACAGGCAGGCAGTCTGAACATCTTCACGTCGCGGGAGCAGGAGTTTGAGCAAAGGGGCATGCTGCTGAAGCGCCTGGCCTTTGTCATCTACTGCAGCGAATTCGACCAGCACAACAAGTATATGCCGGACATTCAGGGTGAGCGCGAATCGGTTGAAATCATCATCATGGAGATGTATCCAATCAAACGTTTCATTTTTCACACTTTTCCACGCAGAACAACTGGCAAACAGCTTGCGTCTGGTGCCTATGGGACCCTCAGTGCAGGCGGCTGTATTCCTATGCTTTAGGGTGCTGCTACTCCGCATGTCGCCCGATCATGTCACTTCGCTGTGGCCCATCATTATAGCGGAAATGGTGCAGGTGTTTCTGCAGATGGAACAGGAGCTCAAGTCGGAGAGCGAAGAGCGGAGGTGAGTCCATTCGACAGTGCCAGGTGTGATGTGCTCTCAACTAACCAACAACTTTCTCCCTTAGCCAACAAATGCGACTCCCGTCAAGCATAGATGTTTCGTGGTCAAACAGCTCCGGTGCCAGCAACGGTATCAATGCCCAAACACCAATGCAGCATTGGCGATCCGTTCAGTTGGAGGCATGCAAGCTGCTGGAACTTGGCTGTGTGCTGCCGGCGACCAAACTTCCCCACTTTCAGATGTATCGGTGGGCCTTCGTGGGCACAGAGTTCGATGTGCACGAGGAGGAGGTGGGTCTGCCAAATGGCAGCCTGGAGAACCTGGCCTCGTTGCCGACAGCTCTATATGTTCCCCATGTGAGACGTGTGGCTCGGCTGATGGACATGAAGTACACCAGCCAATCCCCGGTACGACAATTTATACAGATTTCATAATCTTTAGCGCCAACTAATCCCCTTATCTTTATATATGATATGTAGGTGTTGCAGCGTCCCAGCAATCGCCATTTAATGCTGAACTTCCAGCAGCTGCAATCGCTTCAGGAACTCTACGCCTTCTTCTCTACCCTGGGCATCAGCTGTCCGCAGCCGCGCAACTTTGCCGACACGGAACGGGATGTGGCAAATTGCCTGGAGGAGATCGAGGATGTGCTGGCCAATGATTTTCTGGAGAAGCTACCCAGTCTCACAACGCCCAGATGAAAACTGGCTACGCCCTACAGGCAGACCCCGACGCAGACGCAGACGACGCGCCTGTCGCAGTTTGAGCTCAAACGAAATGTGAATCTAGGAGAGTTTGCCATGGAGCCGGCACATCGCGGCAGTGGCCAGGCAGCTCGCATAATCGCTGCCATGCAGGCGACCCTCACAAGCCAAAGCGCTGAGACGAGCTTCATGCAGATGCAGACCCACAACAATAAGAAGACCAACTTTCCATTTTATGTCTAAGTAAAGCTTACGCCGAGTATGATAGATAGATAGCTAGCAAGAAAAGTATGGGGCGAGGCGAGGCGAGCGTATAGCTCGTATAGCTATATATATACGAGTATAGATATCTGTAGTGTGATCGGTCGTTTTAACTGTTGAGTGTATAAGAGAAATAGTTGCCCCATAGCCCAATAGCCAGCCCCTGTATTGTATGTAATGTATATGTATTAAACTGTTGATAGTTGCGCCGAAGTCGAAGTGAATAAGAGACGTGTTTACGACAAATTGCAATCAAATACAAAAACGTATTTTATTCCAAGAACAACCCAGCAAGAAATCGGATGAGGATGGGGAGACACAAAACTAGGGGAATCGCCGTCTTTACCGAATATGAGACTCAAACAACAGGCACGGCCTGAGGAGTGCCCTCGCGGTTCTTTAGCTGCAGGTAGTAGGAATAGATAAGACGAGCGCAGAAGGCGACGATTACTGCAACAAAGGAGAGGTCTGTACTTTCTGTCAACCAGTTGGAGTAGGATAGCACTTACCAATCTGCAAAATATACGAAAGCAAGGCGCCAAATATATTATTGAATCCGGTGGACTCGCGATACCCTCCGTAGTGGAAGATGACGCCGAATATGGCAAATGGGAAACCGATGGCACAGAGCAAGGCGTATATCAGCCAGCCGAGGAGCAGCAGGCGCTTGTACTGCAAAAAAGGTAAACAGGGATTGATGAATCAGAGCTAATCGCCATCCGTATGTCTTTACTCACCTTCAGGCAACCGATCAGCAATAAAACATTAGCTGTAACTGTAATGGCAAAGCCAACAAAGTTTACCACTGGAAAATATAGAATCGAAGAGTCAGTTTGGATTGTGTGACACACATAATACATCATGTCGTCATCATCAGAAAAGTTTCACGCTATTCTATTCAAAAACAGAAACGACAGCGACTTTGGGAACGTGTTTCGGTTTGGGGAGACGATTAGCTCATGCTTTATATGTACATATGTGTGTATGTATATACGTTTAGGTATTCAGAAATATACAGAATGCTACATATGTACATATATATGTATATGTTGATTTATCATTGTTTTAAGGCTATAGCATAGCTATAGCTTCTGGGGCACACTATCATACAATTTAATTATATTTTGCCACAAAAGACAAGCGGATTTGTCCAAATAAACAAATGCCACGCCTTGAGTTCCACATACCCGTTGGCGCGAAGAGCACACTGAATGTGATGGCCACCAGCGAATAGATCGCTATGCCAAGGCACCAGCTCCGGAGATCTGTGTTGCATGGCCCCTGGTCGACAGTCAGATCGATTTTCATCTTGAGATTCTTTGGCTTCGGTAGTCTTTTGAATTTTCCACAAAAGTGAAAACCGGTCGAGATGCTATGGAACACAAACAACGGCGACCACAACGCGCGAGATTGAAAAAGTGAATGAAGCGTCTAGGTCTGCGGTCTAGAGCGCGGCAGCCGGAGCAACAGTTGCTAAATGGAGAAATGCTAGCGTGTGGGTGCCTGTGTGTGTGTATATCTGTGTTTGGGGGAGAGAGCTAGCGCTAGTGAGAACCAGAATGTGTGGGCGGTTGCTTTTTCTGAGAAAACTAGCAATCGATAAAAAGATACACAACTTTATCATATTACTTACATTTAAAATGGGAATGCTTACATTTGAATTGTAAACGGTTATATTTAAAAAGCTTTTAAAGATGTCCGGCAACCCTGTCAGAGGTCTTAAAAAATGGCTTAAAATTGTTTAGGCAGAGTTAAGGATCTTAGTTAGCCAGCATTTGATCCAAATTGATCCATTAATCGGATAAAATTATGTTGGCAGGCCTGTGAGCTCTATCTAACTACAATATAGGGTATCTAACCGGTATATAGGGTCGACTGTTTGCCTGTGTTGACATTTCAGCTTATTTTAAGCTAGTTTTTATAGCTTATAGGTTGAAATATAGCTTATTTAAAATTTCAGCACGCTGTCGCTAAAAAACATATTGCGTCCAATACCAGCATTGGTAGAAAGTCCTCAAAAACAGAGAAGCCGGAGGCTGCACTTTGTATGTACATTGGTGAGCACTCGGCCATAGCATAATGAAGTGGAAAAAATCATGTCATTACATTAAATAAAAATTGAAAACAAAATATCAATAAAATTCAATTATCCATTTTTTTATGTGTTTTTATGGTTAGCTTATTTTAAAGCTTTTTTTTTAATTTTCAGCTTATTCTAGATTATTTTTTTCACCAATCTAGCTTATGGGGGATTCTCAAAATCTGGCAACACTGCTCTTGGACGTCAGCTTTTGCGACTTAATTTGCTCATTGAATTTACAGTGCGGTGGAGAACAATTGCAGTTTACTATACTTGAATTTCTGTGCGCATTAGAATCGGAAAATCTAGTGAAAATGCTGACCAAAGTGTTGGGTATGCGGTTGAATACCTACGGTGTGGTTGTGGGATGGCTGGGAGCGATTTGGTCGTTTTTGGCAGTGATCTTGATATCCACTGCTCTAGGATTTGCCGACGAAATCTCAGAGGAGATTGCTAAGAATTCCCAAGATCCGAACATGACTGCCATCCAAATTCGTACTCGTAAGTGTTGAACCATGTGGATCTGAGTCTCGTCTACATGTGTGCATATATTTATGCATTCGTATGCGTTGTTCTTCTGTAGTTCTGGTGATAGTGCTCAGCGTCTTTTTGGCTCTGAAGGTAATCAATCTTCTGTCTTCGGCCCTGTTAGTTATGGGCACTGTTAAGGTAATCTCAATTCCAATCTCTGGCTCGGACTTTCCCGGCGGAAACTGCATTATGGTTGTCTTTCTCTCTCTTTCTATTGTAGGAGCGTCACCTACTCTTGCTGCCCTGGCTGATCAACTCCGGCATAACTCTGGCCTTCACCATCATCTCCACTGTGCTCTTGTGGGTTGAGGCTATTGGTTCTAGTCCAGTAGCTGAGGCTCTTTCTGTAGTCTTCGTTTCTGGCGGTCTTGTCGGTATGTAAAGCGTGAATCACGCTCTGGATGCGCATACACTTGCACATCTGCAACGATACACATACATATATGCTATAATTGGAAATGGTCTACAAAAAAATGTTGTGAAATTCCAACCGCTAGACCGCTTATCGGTCGCTTTTCTGTATACTGTATACGTTCTATACACGATTGCATGTACACATATGTACATATGTATATATGTATTCATGCATACACTTCCCATTTAAACAGAAAAATCCCTAAGCACACAGCTTTAATTGCGTATTGTTCTTTGTTCCAGTGCTTTGGTGGTACCTCTACTACGGCATCTACTCGCTGTTCAAGCACATCCAGCTCACAAGCGATCAGCAGCGCCCGCTGATCCAGGGACCACCTCAAAGATCGGGCGACCACTCGGGCGCCACCTATCCGAATTATACCAAGATCTAAATTGGAAACAAACAGCTTTCGATGGCAGTTTAAGAGGAAGCCAGAACAAAGTAAAATCCCCTTAAAATAAATTTATATTCCAGATATACTTACTCACACGCCCGTATCATATGCCTATTCCTCTTCGAATGTGATCGCTAAGATGCCAAAAGAATATTTGCCATTTTTGCTGATTCCTCTAAATATATTTTTAACACATACTAAAAAACAAACAATAATTTGGGGCCTACAAAGAAAAAGCAGCGCAGCTGCACATTTTATGGTGTTAATGGCCATATGACATTAGACATTGACAACTGAAGTAACCGCAAAAACAGACATAGTCTTATGGAGAAAAGCATGCAGAGACCTGTTGAAATTAGTACAATACCTTTTGGCAGTTTGAGGGAGAGATACTCGGTCACTCGAACCAAATTCGAATTGCGTTTGACCGTGTTTGGGTTTGGTATGAGTGTTTTTTACGGGAAACTTGTATGGAGACACTCATTGTGCGTCTTGATATCTTGTTGGCAAAGTCTAATGTCATATGGCTATAAGAGTCGGCCATCGACGGGCTTACTGTTATTTGCCCAGTCCCAGCCACATGTAGCTGGGATCGATGAGCTGCGAGCCGCGATAGCCCTGCGGATTGCGCGACACCAGCGAGCGGATCTTCTGCGAGGGTCGGTAATTGCGTATGGCGTGCAGCAGCTTCGAGGTCTTGTGGTCCTGAACCTGCTGCTGCACTGGGTCCTCTGTCGCGTTTGGGGTGGCTTTCATTTGGAGCGGATGGGGATGTTTGCCCTCCAGCAGGCGTGCCTCCGACTCGCCCAGATGCGACCGCTCCGCAAAGCGCACGTTTTCCTCAAGATGGTTGAAAAAGTTGCCCAGATTGGTCATGGCTCCTAGAAGAAGACGAAAACAACACTCAGAGGCATCGAGACGGGACAAGCCCCGGCTACCCACCAGCACTGATCGAGGGCATGTACCGCAGAGACTGCGTCTGCAAATGGTTCTTGCGCTTCCCGGGCCGCTGTCCGTTGGGCCAGAAGTAGGCGTACGGATAGCGCGGTTCATCTGGCGGCGGCTGCTCCGCATCCTCCCGACTGCCCGTGTCGAAGGGCCATTGGATCGGCGACCGCTTGGGCTTGGGTTTTGGCGGAGATTGCCACTTCTGCTGCACCAACAACTGTTTGATATAGTTTTCCTGGCGCTGGCGCCATTGTCGACTCAGAAGCTCCGGAAACGGCGGGAAAAAGTCCGCCATTGCCGCATCGCCCAATTCGTTTGCCATTTCCGCAGCCCTCGTTTTTGGCAAAGGACTTCCGTTGTCAACATAATCAAGGTATGGGAATTGGAATGGGTATGACTTCTGGGCTTCTGGCTGGACCCACCCCCAATCGCTGTCCGGCAGGAGCTCTCGGCTCTCTGGCAGCAAGTCCCAGGGCACCGTTTTCCCCTCTGCTCGGATGAGGGGTGCCGAACGCATCGGCGCTGCTGTAGAAAGAATCGGGGGACGATGGGCGATTAATAGTGACTTTTCCAAGGATTTTCATAAGACATGAGACTTGGTGTGACCTTGAAAAGGGTGCGCTGTGCTGTCCAATTTCCGCAGCAATCCTGCAGATGTTAATTACTGATAGGAGCAGCAGTTTCCCTCATCCAAAGGTCAATGTTCAATTTCGAATCAAGCGCTGAAAAACCTCATTTGCACGAAATAATCTTGTGGGGGTTTCCACCAGATGCGATCTCTTCTAAATATACGTTCTGTACATGCCTGTGCCTGATTTGTATTGTATTGTAACAGTGAAAACTCTACTTGCGGACATTGTCTGGACTAATTGTGGGACTTTACCTAAAAATATATATACAACTTAGGCATATTTCTTAATCTCTCCCTTTCTCTCTCACAGACAAAGGGTCTGTATGGTCTGTACTAAACATCTCCCACTGTATTACTTATATAAAAATGTTCTCTGATTCATCCAAATGATATTCCTATCTGACTGGTTGCAGCCGTTGCCAGCTCAGTTTCGTAGTATGTATGAATGTGTATCACTGAAGAGCACATAGTCGTAGTGCACTCTAGTGCCCATGTCAATGATAAAGAGAAAATTGTTTCAGAATGTGCAAAAATTACTCTGCTGCGCTTGATTTACTTGACTAGTTTATTATATTTGAACTGATAACCAGTCTACAGATAACATAACCCTACATAGTCATAGTTTCATATCTAGTTCTCCTTGCGGTCATCCCTGATCGTTTAATGTTACCTCGCTTTTGACTACACTTTACACCTTAGATTAATAATTTTCGGACTCCCATTTGGACTTTGTCTACCGAGGAATAGAGTTTACTCTATCATATTTTACAAAATAATCAATATAAATGATTTTCCACTGTATTAATCATAAGCGTATTTATAGCTATTACTCGAAGAGTATAGGGGTATAGCTACGAGAAGGAAGAGTTTCCGATCCGTCTGCCTTTCCGTCAGAATATCTCACGTTTCAAAGAGGCGATTGGAAAAATAATGCTTATGGTACCAATCGAAACTCGTACAAAATTACAATAGTTTGGAAATTTAAAAAAAAAATTGCCATCCACGACTTTTGACTCTCATTTGCTATGTAAAATTATACGCTGAATCAAAAACAGGCGCAAGCATGTCTATAAAGTTTCACTTTCTACACTCTTATTTGGATTTATTTCCCACAAATCTAGGTGATGAGAGCGAGAGTTTTCACCAACAATTAAAGACCAAGGGACGTCGCTTTCAAGGATTTTGGCACGAAGCGATGATGGGTGACTTTTGTTGGATTCTCATTAGAGAACATTAACTAACATTAAACATAAAAAAGAAAAGCGAATTAGGCATAGATAGATCAAGATTTGTAGTTAAAGTTATATTCAAGAAAACGAAGTTAATCATGAAAATATGTAAGTTAAAACCGATTTTCTTAATTTTTACTGAAATGCTTCTAATATAAATTCGTCCACTGTAAACGAAGATAGCTACATTCAAGTAAAATAACTTGTTTTTATAATTGAAACTATATTGGACTGTTCTAATGAGAGTCAAATGTCGTGGATCGAAATCGGTGTAATCCAGTATTATCTATCTGCCGTATTTGAAATCATTTTGTTTCTTACAATGGAATTTAGGGACGAGTATTAAACGCACTTTTCGTATGCGAGTGTGAGGGAATGTTTTGAGGAGAAGCAACAAAAAACTCACCTGCAGATAGAAGCATCAGCGGCAGAACCCAAGGTCTCATCAATGGAAGCAACATTTTGTTCATATTTTAAAGTGAAGCACTGGTAGAGCGTCGTTACATTGCCTTGAAGAGGAAACCTCAAGACTAACCTTTTGGCTAAATAGTTTCGAAACACATCTCCGCTAAATTGTACACAGTTTCAAAGGACAAAGGAACTGCTGCTCCCACTTGAAGGATCGAATTCCACGGCGGAGCTTCGGAAAGCGACTGACCATGAAGGCGAGAACCTCGTGCGTTTTTATAGCTCCACCAGGATGCGAGCTGTAACCAACCCATCGCATCCTACACGCATCCTATGCCACTGGCCACCCACCCACACCCTGCGAGCACCTGTTGCCGTACGACAGAGACAGCGACACCGATAGCAAAGGCGAAGGCGACGCTGGGGACATGCGCAGCACCTCTGGACGCGGACCTGTTAGCTTTGGCTTGGGGTTTTTCAAGTGCGACCTGAGCCGGGATATTTTCTAATATGCAGAGCAATGACAACGACAATGGCACTCGGAATTGGAATGGGAATAGAGACAGGAATGGGAAGCGGAGTCGAGTGTCCGAGGAGTCTGTGCTTCGAGTGCTGCATTGAATCCAATTCCTATTGGCTTGTTAACGGGGCAATAAGGCTCAGGTGTTCCAAAGGGACTCGAGATTCGGGCAACGGACGCAATTATCCTGTCATATTGCGCAATTTTCGTAGTTTTTGGTATTGCATCTCATCTCCTTGCCAATATCCCGTCCAAGTCAATCCGTTGGCAGATAACGGTCTGATGTGACGTCAACGGCTTTACTTTTCGCTTTTTCAATTTTTCATTTTGTATTAACATAATTGGGTCAGTGGCTGGCTAGTGGTTTTCCACCAATGGCCATTGTACCATCTAGCCATCCAGCCGTCCAGCCACCCAGCCATCCATTGTGCTACTCTGGCCAGACCAGCTTTGGGCCTTGGACAGCGCTGCCCATCCCACCACTGCATTGCCCTGACCGGTGGTCCTTTTCAGTGGCATACGTAATTGGATTTGTGTGCAACGCATGCAGCTTCTGGGCGTGTTTTAATAGTCCAGAAAATAGCCATTGAGCCATCAGCAGACAGCCAGGCTACCACGTTTTCACGCTTCCAGGCGGCAACTTTCCTGTAAAACATTCAACAAAGTTTCGATCAACAGTGGACAACAAAAGCTTCAATTTAAAGTTGAATAATTTACTCTACTCATGCAGCACATACATACATATGTACATGTATACATACCTACGTTCATAGCCAAAATCCGCAGGAACCATGCTACTCAATTGTTTAGTTTGTAAATAGCTATGGATCTTTAAATTATTTATATGTATATACCAATGATATCAGAGTATGATCCATTGCAACACGCAGCACACCCATCATCTGTATTTCTTTTGAATACTATCCTGCCTATGGCTATAGATGATATAATAAAGATACTTTCTTGAGATAAAACTGAGAGACTAGTATGCATAGAGGATATCCATTAATATATAATAACTGCTGCCCCATTGTACATGGGACTGCCAGCTGTAGCGGATTGCAAAGTCGTCGCTTACCGCAAAAGCTCTCTTGCCGTTCCATTGCCATATCGTTTCACTCCAGCGGCAAGCTTTGCTTGGGATTGGGGCCTCACCACTGTGCTTAGTGGGTCTCACTCGAATTCGAGCTTTCGCGCCGTGAAGTTGTAGCCTGCGCATCGCAGTTGTTGGAGGCGACAGAATAATTGGCTTAGCAGCGATTCGAAATTCGTGGTGCAAAGTGAATTCCGGTAAAGGACTCGCCAAGTGCCGCTCAAGTGCCGTTACAACCAAGCAAAATATTGGGACACCCAAAAGAAACTCCAACTCAAGTTGAGGAAAAGGTGTGGCAATCAAAAAATACTTTCATTATTGGTCGGAAAGGACAGAACAGAACAGAACACTGGGGTAAGGGTCTGCACATGCCGTTGCATTGCCAGGAGCCAACTGCCACCCCGTGTGCCTCCATCTGGAGTTGCCGGATGAGTGCGCAGACGCCATTGGGGAAACGGCTGTTTTCACATTTCCCGCGCTGCCAGCAGGTTGACGACCCGCCGTATGCCGTACGGAAAAAGCCGGCTTTGACAATCGCCACTGCCCGTTCCGGGGCTTCACACTCACTTTCGTTCATCGCGTCCCGGGGGTTGTGGTGTTTTCTATGTCCCTCTACCACCCAACGATTCACACAACGATTACCAAATAGAACAATCTGTCGGCCTACGCTGCGTATGCTCAATGGCTGAAAGCCTGACAGCTGCCCACCGCTGGTGGGCCGTGCGCTGTTTACTTGGCCCACATCCCGCGAGGGTGACTCTCAGCCATATTCGGGGATTGTGGGAATCTCTTTGCCTAGCACGCACTGGCACTTGATTTCTGGGGGCGGCCTCAAGAGCCGCATGCTCTTGTGGCTGGAAGCAAATACATAAGTGCTAAATATGGTAAATGTTTCTAAGCTCAGTGAACGATCTCTGGATGCCCTGCCAAACCGACTCTATTCAAATTCAAGACTCAAGATCTGCATCTTAGTCATTTAATTTATCTGTAATTACGGCTGACTCGATCGCTTCACTTCCGCTTGATGCCAAAGCAGTTAACCTTGGAGTCGCTTAGACAATGATGCAATGCTGCATAAGCAGAACCCACTAATCATCAATGAAGCGTGCAACAAGATTCGAAATCTTTAAGATACGAGTAGGTAGCAATTCAGTTTCGCAGTCACGTGGAGAACATACTACGGCATTTAGTAGGTAGATGGCCACCAAGCAAATGGGCCCCACCAGCAGAGTTCTGTTCTGCTGCCCCACACACAACTATTGTACAACCGGTTCAATGTTTGCACAATTTTTTGTCGACTTTGGGTTCTTCAGGTGTTGTTTTTTCTGCGGTGCTTTTCGGTCTGTCGCCAAGCATTACTGAATGACTGCGGCTACTCTCCCATCGTTTTTGCCCACATTTGTAGTGGGGAGGGGGCTACGTGTGGAGCATACACTCGTTTTGGCTCTGGCTCCGTCTCCGGCTCGTTAGCTGGTTAATTTGAATTTCACACACACATACACTCAGATTCTCTTTCCCTGTCAATGCTCTTGCTGCTCCCCTTCTGATAACCATATTTTTAGTGGGGCTTGTGTTATATTTAAAGCAAAAGCTTTGGCCACCCTCGCGCCACTTTGCGCCACCCGAAGGTCAGCCAGAGTTACACCTTAACTAAAGCCACTTCCTGCTCTTAACCACCTATGTACGTCCGCTTCCTTTCCTGTCCGCGCTCCCTTTTTCAGGGGCTTTGCGTGTGTGTCGAACATGAACTAATCGTGTTTCCAGTTAACTTTTAACATAATTTCATTGCTGCTGGTGTTGGCCACAAGGCACCGTTAGCTGTGCTCTGTTACTGAGACAACCGCAAGGCATTCTGACCCTGGCTGCTTGCCTTTAATTACTCATACGCCGAGTGTGACGAGTGCTGACCCCGCCCAAAATGGAAGAGGAGCGTGCAGTGGGGTCCCAGCGAATGCACCGCGAATTGAGGGCTATCCCACGATTGCAGCTTGTTCTCCACCTCCTCCTCCTCCGCCGCCAGCACTTTGCCTGCTTTTGCCTTTTGCTGGGCAGTAAACATTTGCCTAATGGGGCTTCTTTTTAAGAGGGTGTCGTTGTGTAGAGACCGAGCCCGTACATTGCCCTCCAACACAATTGCGCCCTCAAGCATGGCAGAGGCGGCTGCCCCTCTGGCAACAAAAAAAAAAAAACTAAAACCAAAACTGAAATTGTCGTTAATTTGTTTTGTGTGCAAAGTGAAATTTTTGTGCGAGTATGTTTCAAGCTCTGGCTGTGTATTTCTGTAGCTGTTGCCTCGTTTTGTTAATGCAGCGATAAATTCGTGACGTTCGTTTTACACACATGCCGCTGGCTCCAGTCGGAGCTACAGCCACAGCTACAGCCACAGCTACAGCTCCAGAGCCAGACGCAGCCCAGTCCCCCGCCAGAGACACGTTTTGTTGACCCCAAAGAGAACTTTCCACCGAGCGGTACGAAAGCTCTCCTCTGCACTCAACTCTACCCCACCTCGTTGATGTTTGCCATTCGCTTGCCATTTTAGTATTCATCAAAACGAGGGAAATGTGGCTGGCAGAATGTGCAAATTGCATGCGACAAGCAATTTGGCCAAGCCACATCCTGGCCCCATTTCCTGATCCTCTTGCAGCCCCAGTCGCGGCCTGGCCTAACAATGCTTTGCCATCAGGCATCAAACGGGAGAACAAACAATGGCCACGAGAATGGGGAGGACACTTAACCCAGTTTTTAGTTTCATTCAGATGCTTCGACTTCACTTTGACATGCCAAAAACGCAGGAATGATATCATGTCACCCCCTCCCTCCAGTGACCTAAATTCGGCTCTATTCCACGCGGGTGCGGGTGGCCACAACAATTGTCCCGGGTATTGATTTTTGGCCTTCATTTCAGCTGGAGTTAGAGTCAGAGTTGAACTGAACTGCCAATGAAAAGACTGAACAAACCGAGGACCAAAGCAGGGGAAGATGCGCTAGAAGGAAGAGTAGCTGCTGCCTTGCGATAAGGAAATAGCAACATAAGCATCCACATCAATATAAACATAAACCAAACCATCAACAGACGAAGCCGCAATGTTTTTGCCTGTGAAATCAAATCAGTAAGTAGACGGTGAAATTGGAGCTGGAGTCTCCCCATCGACACCATTCCACCCCCGAAAACAGAGCGCTCCCTGGCATAGCATAAACATGAACATGAGCATAAACAACCCCCGGACTATGGCCGGGGAATTTTCATGCTTCCTGCGACAGCTTGGCGCCCCCATCATCATTATGATTATAAAATTTGATTCTGTTGCAGCTCGGGAGAGGCGAGTGGCAACAACGAGGATGTCACCACCACCAGCAACAATTCTACACAAACGCCCAGCGATCTGAGCCCACCGGGACCCAACGAGGAGGTCTTGCCACAGGCGCATCATCAGAATCCAGGACATTGCATTGCCTCCTTTGCGGCCATCAACCAGATGAGAACTAATGCTCAGGTATGTCACCTTCCATCAAACTTGCTAGGGGATAGAACATTGAGAGGTCTGGAGCACTAGAGCTAGTCAGAATATCCTATTATTTAGGTATCAGCTAAAGAAGAAGAAGTTTCCCCCCCAGTGAATGTTCTTGAAAGGGCATTGAAAACTTTCCGATTAATTGACAGATCTTGATATTGCCATACTAATTGCATTAGGCGTGAACATAATTAAAATATTTATTTAGAATGGGCGCGTGATTGAGGCCGCCGCCATTGTTTTAGTTGACGCGGTCCCACATGCCGCATACTTAATTTCTTTCTTTCGTTTCTCTTTATTTGGCCAGTCGGCAAAATTAATTGTCACCCAGCCCCACCCCCAGCACAGAGTTCAGCAGAGGTGGGGGTGGGGCCATCTGAACAAATTGCCGTTTTAGAGCCCCACCGGGCGACTTGGCCTTAGCCAGAATCGAGCCATGATGTAAGCGACACTTTGCCATCAAAGATGGTTTTCAATCGAGGGCATTGACAGCCAGGAGGGGACTCATTCGAAAGTTATTAATGGACTAGGTATGTCTGGAGTAAGTTGGCTCTTGTAAGGATGCAAGCGGGGCAGGAGGAGCACTGCAAAATTGAGCACGTAGCCAGGAATTAATCGGATTTGTAAAGCGACACTTTTGCCTGGCCCCATCGGAAGGGAACTGTACTCCATGTGTCAACAGCCTGTGGTAATGGCCCTTCTACTATCCTTTCAGCTCTGCGACGTTCGTCTGGAGGTGGGCGGCGACACCATCCATGCCCATCGAGTGGTGCTGGCCTCTGTCTCGCCCTATTTCTATGCGATGTTCAACGGTGAGTGGAGTTCAACGAGATGCTTGCCAGGGCAAGGGGAATGAGAGCTGCTTCATTCATTACTCACCCGATTCTCTATTCATTCCAGATGACATGCTCGAACGCACTCAGGGCCTGGTCCGGCTCCATGACGTGGACAGCACCGCTCTACGCCAGCTGATCGACTACACCTACACCGGAGAGATCACAATCACCGAGCAGAACGTGCAGGTCCTGCTGCCCGCATCGGGACTGCTGCAGATGCATTCGGTGCGCGACGCGTGCTGCAAGTTTCTGCTGCGACAGCTGCATCCCTCCAATTGTCTTGGGATCCGCAGCTTTGCGGATGCCCACTCGTGCAAGGAGCTGCACACCCGATCCCACAAGTACGCGCTGCAGAACTTCCAGCAGGTGGTAGGTACAGAGGAATTCCTGCTGCTGCCCTTCGAGGAGGTCAGGGAGCTGATATCGAACAGCCAGCTGAACATCAGCTCCGAAGAGAAGGTCTTCATGGCGGTGGTCAACTGGGTCAAGCACGATCTGGCCACGCGGCGACTGCACACGTCAGAGCTGATGTCCCACGTGCGCCTGCCCCTCGTCAGTCGCGACTTCCTCATGAGCTGTGTGGAGGCGGAGACCCTGATGCGCGACGACTCCGAGTGCAAGGAGCTGCTGCTGGAGGCCATGAAGTACCATCTTTTGCCGGAGCAGCGCAGCGTGATGGGCAGTCAGCGTACCCAGGAGCGGCGACCAGAGGGCATGAAGCCGTATGTGTTCGCCGTCGGCGGGGGCAGCCTCTTCGCCATCCACAACGAGTGCGAGGTGTACAATCCGAGGAGCAACACCTGGAGTCCGGTGGCCCCCATGCTGTGGCGTCGCTCCCGATCCGGGGTCACGTCGCTGCACAAGCAGCTCTACGTGGTCGGCGGTTACGACGGGGTCAGCGATCTGGCCACGGCCGAGAGCTACAATCCGCTGACCAACAAGTGGAGCAACATCACCCCGATGGGCACCAAGAGAAGCTGCCTGGGTATCTGCTCCTACGACGCCCTCATCTACGTGTGCGGCGGCTACGACGGTGCCTCCTGCCTCAGCAGCATGGAACGCTATGATCCGCTCACCGGCATCTGGAGCTCCTGTCCGGCCATGAGCACGCGACGTCGCTACTGCCGCCTGGCCGTGCTGGAGAACTGCATCTACAGCCTGGGCGGGTTCGACTCCACCAACTATCAGTCGAGTGTCGAACGCTTTGATCCGCGCGTGGGTCGCTGGCAGCCTGTTCCCAGCATGACCGCACGGCGCAGCAGCTGTGGAGTGGCCTCCACCGATGGCCACCTGTACTGCATTGGCGGAAACGATGGGACCATGTGCATGTCCAGCGGCGAGCGGTACAATCTAAGGCGTAACACTTGGGAGCCTATTGCAGCCATGCATTCGCGCAGGTAGGAAACTGTGGTTATTTCATGCTTGGGTTGTAAATGATTACGGATGATTCGATTTCCTTTCAGATCAACTCACGAAGTGGTCGAGGTGGAGGGCGCCTTGTTCGCCCTGGGCGGCAATGATGGCAGCTCCTCGCTGAATTCGGTGGAACGCTATGACCCGCGTCTCAACAAGTGGAGCGTGGTCAATGCCATGGTGGCCCGACGCAGTTCCGTGGGCGCTGCTGTGCTAGAGTGCTTTCATCTGGAGCGAGGACTGGTGCAGACGACGAACTTATGACCCTTGGCCAGCATCAGCGAGTCTTTTGCCGCTGCGTCAGCGAGCGTAGCTAGCAACACCAACGGATCGGCAGCAGTAGCAGCATCAGTAACCGGAGGCACTCTGACCGTTCCCAGTCGCGCGGAGGCGGCTGCCTTCACGGCCAACATTGCATTGAGCAGCTCGGCGCCCTCAGCTAGTTCCACATTGCGCCGCCACCGTCGCGATACGCCCGGCCTGGCCGAGACCCGGAGAACCAACAGCAACGCCAGCAGCAGCAGTGGAAGTGGCAGCGGCAGTGAGAGTGGCAGCAGTGCCACCAGCGGGACAGGAGCCGGAGGAGGAGTAAAGCCACCGGCGACAGCCTGATCCTGGTCTATGTCGCGTCGTTTTTAAGCCAACTACAAAACACTTACATACAAAGCTAACCCCACGCCTAATGCAGGAATTTGATTGATTGTTCAGTTCGTTATAAATTATAGATATATATATAGGAATAGATACTCGCATAAGTGCGACTATTCATCATGACGGAGATGCGAGCAGCCACCACCGAGGACCGGCCCCTGGCGGTTGTTCGATTGCTCAACATGGACGGACTACAGTATGAATGCAAAACGGGATTCCCGTTACACATGCCACACATAGGAAAACATAGCTACAACCACATATTTCTAGTCAACATCTCTTACATTAGACACGCCCACACACCCTACCACACATCCACATCACATGGGAATGCCGCAGGGGTCTGGATAGTCTGCTAGCAAGGACATCAAACAACAAACATGGAGAAGCAACCTAATCTGCCTACAATTTACATACATAAATCTCTATACACATAAATTATATACCATATACACTCTTATGTACTATTCTTATGTATTTTATACACGCAATTATAATGATAAGTAAATGTTTCGTATTTGAAGTCGGTCAGAGTCAAGCGGCGTTCGTTCCCCTCTTGAATATCTTGATATTTGTACTAGGATTGTGGAAGAGTGCCGTGCCCCAATCAGTGCCCGAATCAAATCATCCGTTCCGCTGTCTTGCGTGCCACCTTGCCCACGTTGTTGCCGTCCTCCTGCCCCAGCTGATTGCCCGATGCAGCGATCATTTTTCCTGGATTAATCCAATCCTTGGGCAAGCCCGTGCCAACTGTAAGAATGATGGGGATGGTGATTATTGAAGAGTCGAACAAGTGCTGGGTGGACACGTCAGTTCGTTTTTTCACGAGTGTGTGCAGCAACCGGTGGGAGCTAAAACCAATATCAACAATCGGCCATGACCAATGGACGACCAAGCAAGCGACAAGTACAGATCGACAGTTCTCAGTACGCATTTATTATAAGTCTCAGTTTCACTTGATTATTGATGATGGGACAATGAACGTTAAATGCTGATGCGGCCATCTGCCTTCGTCGACTCCCTACCTCACAAACTGCGGGCGCTTGGCCCGCTGTGCTCTGCTGCGCCTTGGCGCTTGCGATTCGAAGATGATGTGGGATGAAGCTCTCTCCGAAAGGCAAGGCCAACGCACAACCAGAGCAGGCAATTCGTGAAAAAATGAAGACGACAAGCCGCTTGAGAGTGGTTAAAACTAAACGGTACTTAGGCACTACCTCGAAAATATGGGATAAGAATTAATTAACAACAAGGAATATTGGTCGATTCTTAGTCCAAGTCGCCAGCTACTGTGTTGCGCGGAAGGATTGGAGAAACGTAAACAAAACGAAATTGATGTAGCAAAAAGAGAGAGTACGAAGAACGTGTTTGAAATTACTCAAATATTAAGGCTATCTATGTATTGGCCAGTGATTGGAACCAAAATCAGAAACCGTTCAACTTAAAAGTAAACTCTTTTTGTTAATCAAAACGAGAGCTATTTACTTTTGTAAACCTTCTCGGTCATGTCATCGAAGGCAGAGTCCTGAATGTTCAACATCAAGCTGTCCGCCGACAGGTAGACCTTGTTCTGTGAGGTGGCAATCTGTAAAGAAAGGGAAAATGTTGAGATTCACATTGAGATCGATATTGAGGTGAATATCATACCGTGCGGGCAATGCTTTGTGCGGCACGTAGCTTGCGCAGCTTCAGATAAGCTGGGTTCTGCTTCACGGCCAGACCTAAGTAAACATATCGGTTAAGGGAAAAACCAGGGGACAAATCAAATGGCAATTGCTAAATCGAAAGATAAAGTTTGTGTGTTTGTAAAAGGATATCATTTTCGCTGCCTCTGCTTCACCCTCAGCCTGAACAATCTTCTGTTGCTTCTCTTGCTTGGCCCGCTCCACAAAGAAGACGGCGCGCTGCGCCTCCTGCTGGGCCACCTGTTTTGCCTCGATGGCGGCAGTGTATTCCTTGCCGAAGCTCAGCTCGGTGAGGGAGACATCGTCCAGAATGATGTTGAAGTCGCGGGCACGCTCGACCAGCTCCTTGCGGATCAAAAGCGACACCTTCACACAAGGAATTCTCGTTTAGAATCAAATCAGATCTGATTGTGCTCAAGCCACTCACCTGCTGACGCTGTGTAATCAACTGCGAGGCATTGAACTTGGCGATCACGCTCTTCAACACCTCATTGCAGATGGAGGGCAGCACCTTCTCGTCGTAGTCCACGCCCAGCTGCTTGTGCAGGGAGGGAAGGTTCAGAGAGTCGGGACGCGACAGCACACGCAGTGAAATGTTGATCATCTGCAAGTCTTTCGAGCCCGTCGGCGAGGCAATTTTACGGGGACGGGAGCGAATATCATAGATGATGGGATACTGGAACCATGGAATGCGGACATGCAGACCCTCCGAGAATATATCATTCTGTATGCCGCCAACGCGGTTAAAAATGATGGCGCGGTGACCGCCGTCGACTGCAAGCAACAAAATATGGAGTTTGGTTATGCAATCATGTTCAGATGAAATATTGGAAGTGGAAATATATGAAGTTGCCAGAACTATATATCATGGATGGGTCTACGCAGTCTGCAAAATAAATCCAGATTCTATTCAAGCAAAGGTTGTGCAAGGCTTTTTAATAGTTATGAAATATGGAGATAGCCCAGGCCCTCGCATACACTCACACATCGGCACTCAGTAGGGTTGAGGTTATGTGCACATGCCGCTTCGGCATTCGTGTTTCTGCTATTATCCATTAATTTTCGACATTTTTTCAATCCCATTTCCCAGTTACCTGTGTAAAAGGACTGGCTAACACCATAGGCTACAGCTCCTGCGGCCGCCAGGAGCTTCAGTCCAATACCCAGTCCAGGTGGCCCACCTTTGCCCAGCTTGCCCGCAAGATCATTCAGTTTGCTTTGCGCCATGTTGTTTGTAATCTAAATGAAGAAGTTTATACTGAGAATCTGTCTCTTCAACTATTTCAGAGCCTGCTTTGATTTAATAAACGGAAATTTCATAATTACATCGCACAAAAAGAAAAGCCGCACGTTCTATTTACCTGAATTCTTATCGATAAGAAATCGAACTTAGTCCACTAAGCCCCCTCTATTTAAAAAGTTTAACTACTTGAGGTAAGTGGCGGAATATATTAAGGCTTGAAAATTCTTCTTGTAGATTCATGCCATGTTTCTTCTGAACTTAAAAATAACCACGCTAACTTTCACCTCAACTACGCTAACATTAATAAATATTCATTATTGTCGGTGAAAAATTGAAATACCCCCTTGGCTTGCAATGGGTTAATCGTTCTCCGTCGAATATTGGAAAGCATATTGCTCAATTTTGATGTTCCGTCGAATATTTTATCCGATTAATGAATGAATTTTCTACCTAACTGGCTTATTTTAACCACTTGCTTTTATTTTATTTATTGTAAAAAAAGGTTTCAACGAAAAAGTTCAACAAAAAAGAGTCGCTGTATTGCGTGTAAGCCGTAGTATATGCCTTTGTATACCCTATTTTGTTAAATTTATATGAAAGTATAAATATTGATATGAAGATAAAACGTAACTAATAAAGACCTTTTCTTAAGTTGACATTTTTTAGACATGTATATGATGAGTGTTTTGTATATGTATATATCTCGATCCTGATACCTATTCTTGGTCCCTACAAGAAGACAATAAGTTTTAAAATATCGTTGAAATATTGAAAATAAAATTAAATAATATTGAATAATACTAAAAAATATTAAAAATAAATTGTTTTTGCCTGGGATGACAAACATAATCACAGTTCTGTAACAGCCATTTCCCCCAGTTGTCAACCGGTTATGACGACTAATTCTTGGTTATTCTTTCTGCCGTCGAATATTCCCAGCTATATAGATCTCTCAGCTTTGCCCACATAATTTTATACGATTGATGAATCAATTTTCTACAAGATTAACTAATTTTAAATAATCGCATGTATTGTATTTTGATGAAACACGTGTTTATAACAACACCACGAATATGAGAGTTGAGGTCAATAAATTGGTTGAATATACGATGTTAGTGAACGCGTTAGGTAATATTATTTAGAGTTCACGTGCGCAGCGAATGGCAATTTGTTGAGCGCGCAGTTTGAATTTTGAATATAAATTTGAACTTGCATGTAGATTTGTATACATATGTATGTAAATTAAACAGGAAAAAATAAGTTTTCTGGAACTGAGTTATGTTAAAAATAAGCTAACCAAACTGTATAATTGAAGCTCCCTGTGGGTTTTTTCTATCTATACTTAATCTTAATAGATTCCCCTGAATTTATGAGGTTTTTTGACGTCTCGTTGCCACTCCACCTTATCACGACAGTCCTAAGGTTTGCTTGCAAAGCATGACAATGGTTTGTTTCGGCTGCGATTTGAGGATTTTCTCTTTGTTTACGAGTTTATTGCTTAGCCCTGATACGGAAGTGCCAGATAAACGTTCGATGGCTTTATGACGCTCGCCCTAAATTGTTCACTGATGGATTTGTAATTAATATTGGCATCAACGATTAGATTAGGGTTATTAATTATAGCACGTTGTTAAGGCTTTATCATTTAACCAAATTCTAAGAGGTCTTCCGTTGTGTTATTAGCATCTGAAGTGTCGCGGAAAATTCCTTGAATTTTCGAATTTGTTTCGCTAAAAGCACAAGTTAGGATTGCCCTCCCGAAATATGATCCAAATCAGTTAGCAAGTGCTGTTTAATGGATGCGAAGTTTCGCTCTGACGTCGACAAGGTGCCGACGGGCCTATGTCAACGTAGCACGAAATCAGCTCTGATTTCTGTACGAAAGTAAATGTTAATTTCATTGCTGATCAATTTTGCATTCGGAGAAATCCCAGCCCAGCGAGAATCCCCCACGAATGTTGGAAATTTATAATGAGATTGGTTGAGAGACCGCAAAAATCAAGAGTAGAATAGTTAAGTTCTAAGGGGGGTTCCAGAGGGGGAAGGGAAGTCGATGGAAGTTGTACGGCCCAATCAATGTCATCTTGCTGGTCGATCGCGTTGCGCGTTAATGGCCAGACAAAATCGGCCATATCAGACGGCAATTAGCATGCGCAACGACCCGCCGCTCGCTTATGGCCAGGTACCATAACATCGAATACACTACTCATCGCAGCTTGACATGTTTTCGGCATGGCCTAGCAGAGCTTGCCAATTTAGCGGGAGTCTGTTCCATTCAGACTTCCCATTGAACAGTGCGACAGGCACTTGAACTTGAATTTACATGTGACCGAGTGGGGGGTGGAGTACTCAGGAATTGAGGAACTCAAGTCGAGCCTGACTTGTCTATGGTCAAGTTCAAGCTGAAACGGCACGTTTCGCATATTAGAACTACTAGGGAAAAACTCTCGATCATGAATCGAGTGTGGGGGAGCTTATGCAATCGATTCGAAAGCTAAAACAGATACAAAAAGAAAGAGTGAGAGTGGGAGGGAGGTAGAGATTGAGGTAAACACAAATAAATCTGAATTGCATTTACAACTGTTCATTCTGTAGTGCTGTGTTGTAAAAAATATGTCCAGAATGTAATTACTAGTCCGTCAAACAGCTGCTCCCACTAATATCTACTGGAGGATGTGTAATTGCATTGACTGGCAATTATTGTGTGCACTAATTCTGCGCCCGTCACCGATGCCAGCCCCCATGACACGTGAAAAACTAAAACACTAGCATCCATCTGTGCTAGATATACCTACAAATGTATTACCAGAGAATAGCGTGTTGAGGCTTGCTTTGCTGGAAGTTTTATATACATACGTAGAGGGTGGCAGGGAAGGGTGACGTCTAGGAGAACGATAAGTAAAATCTGCAGCATCATTTGGCAGCGGAAGAGTCGCGAAATGGGAGGCTTCCCATTAACATACAAATCTACAATCGATATAAGACTATACTTTATTGATCCAAACACATTTATTGATCTACAAACAAACGTCGTTTGCGGTCAGTCGTGCCAAGCACGAGATCTGTAAATCAGAAACAACATTCGGGTAGTGGGTCAGTATCAATACCCTAAGGGCTTATAGGAATATACAACTTGACTTATAGGAATTCAGACGGTTTTAAAGAATTTAAGGGATATTTGAAACACTTAAAGGACATTTATAGTTGAAAATACGATTTTAATCAGCTGATTATCCTTAATCCTTTGCTGTAAATATGATCCCCAGAAGTATGCTGCAAAATTCAATATTCCCTATAAGAAGCTCATTGGACCTCCCTTACGCTCAGTTCTACTAAATGAGTAGAACTTACACATAAATAAATCGACTGTGACTGTTAGAGCTGGTTTGATATCGTGACAAATCCATCAATAAAATCCTGAGAGGCTCAGTGTGCCCCAATGAGCTTTAACATGTTTGCTAAGTGAGACCGCAAGCCAGAAGCATCACGACAATTGGATTAGCAAACCCTCCTACCCCTCGGACTCGTCCGGTCCGCATCAAGTAGAGAGGATTTAAGACCGCTTATCACAATGTTTGATTTTAGTGTCCCATTGTTTAGCGTCTTAAGAGTAGAACCGAGATTAACATTTGTTTTGCATATGGCTCGACATGAGCCGAGCGTGTGGCTGAAGGGTGTTTGAAAGTGCGTCACCTTTTGGGGGGGGCTATCTAAAGCAGTTTTACACTTCGTTTGCACCTCCTAAGATCAGATCGAACTTTCATTTGGGGCAGTAAATGGTGTCAAAGTGAGAGTCGAGTTGGTAAATACGACTAAAGCAAAGATTAGAAGCTGGATTTGCCACGTACATACGTAGTATGTATATCCATTGGTAACTGCAAGAAATTCCAGTTATTCTCTAAAAAAAAACACACGTTGGCAGCAACAATAAAAAGGTTGCTAGTAGTCGCAAAACACAATCAGAGGGAGAGAGAGAGCGAGAGAGATCTAGGGAATCAGAACCAAAACGAATTCCATTGGATCAGCCAGGCATGAACTATGCATAGCTAAGAATTTTTAAATAACACATAGTAACTGTCCAACCAGAGGGGAGTGAGTGGCCGTGGGGAGAGAGTATTGTGTTCAAAACTATTCAGAACTTATTAAAGCTCCCAATGCGAAAGTGAAAGTGATCGACTCTTACTCTGCCTGCCCTGCCGGGGGTAATGTAATGCAAAGAGCAATCCACTCACTCCTCTGAATGCCAGCTATGATTCGAGCATAGCTCTCGGAACTCGGTGGCATCCACGAGTAGGGCAGGTGATCGTTTAACCAGTTTTTGTTTTTTTTTGTTTCGGCCACACTTTGTTGGATTGTTTTCGGGGTTCCCTCTGAGCGTAACTCCCGAGCAATAATTCAATTCGTTTACCCAAAGTTTCATTCATTCAAAAATCAAAATAAAAAACCTCGTAGCCATAAATTTTCCATTGTCCCATTTCGGTGGCTTCGGTGTCTTTTGGGGGTAGCACGATTTCATATCACTTCTGGGCCCCTAAGGCGCTGATACATACAAATATATCACTATGTCAAGAGCATCATATGGGACTCCTTCGATTGGGTGCGAGTGCGAGGTTCAAACACTTGAACGGATGGTCTTATATACATGTATTCTGTCCCTGACAAGCTCGTGGGCATGCCCTGGTCTCTTGTACTAAGTGTAATCTATAGATGATTCTGATAAGATTCGATTCGCGACGGATATAAGTACATATGTACATAGGTATGTACATAGGTACCTACTGTCACCTAGACACCTCACGGGCTGTCCACGGGGCGCGTAAGTGGCCTCCCTGGGTTTTCTCGGCAGAGTCGAGAGCTCTGCTCCAGTGACGTCCGCCGCCCCGAGCGTGTTTGAGTGCCTCGATCGCTGGCCAGCCAGCGGCTCGGGGCTTGCGGCTCGCGCCGGCGCTACAGCACAACCCCCAGCCACACCGTATAAATGGAGTCCCAGCGCCGATTCAGCGTTCAGTCGGTCTGAAATTGTGGCGAGAGCGCGGTACTAAACGGTAGCATCCGTCGAGCGGCAGAGAATCGTAACCGAAATCGAACTGAAACAGAAATAGAAACAGCAGCAATTGCTTTGTTGTGGCACCTGGAACAGTAGTTAATATGCTCACATTTTCCTCGATCGAAACCGAATCAGATCGAATTGCTGGCCAGCAGTGAGCGGGCGGAGAGACTGAATTGCTACGCCACATTAAGAGCGACGAACCATAGAAGTGCTAAAATAACACCCACAACCTCCAACAGCCCCCAACAATTCTCAACGAAGCTCCACGAATTTACCCCTTATAGTAGGATCTAGTAGGAATTAAATAGGACATTAAACATGAAGCTGATGTGCTGTGGTGGGAGCAACGACTCCATGGACCTGAAGAACCCCAAGAAGGATGATGAGGCCGAGGCCAAAGGTAAGTGGAACCACAATGGAATATGGAATCAATTCCATACAAAATTAATATTGGAAAATATCAGGAAAGTTAGATCAGATTTTAAAATGGTGTTTGGCTAGAGGAAGGACAAATTATGGCGGTTCTGTCACAATAGCAAACACAATGTTACTATTGATTAACTGTAGCCCTCAACTGCGGTTCGATTACATAAAAGAATCGCTTTTCAGGTGGTAGGGGGATTAAATCTGAAGTGCCAGTCGGTGACAGTCTGGTCTTGCGCCTGTTCTTTTTAATGGCCTAGTGCTATCGGCTCCAAGCCCACAAACTAAGAAACCAAATGTGCATCTGCTTTATGGTACATATTTAAATGGTATTCCCCAATCTTAGGGACTTAAACGTAGATATATACATATGAATATATCAATACCTGGAACTGGAGTGGCGCCTCAGACAGGAAGCTGGCATTTGTTTGCACTCGCACAGCCCATAAATATAAATCATCAAAGTTCGTATGCAAATTTGAGTCCAGTGGAAAGCCGACAACTGCCAGTATATCAGTATAGTGCACACAGATACGAACCGATCACCGGTAATCTTTCAGTTATTCCGAGTTTGTTTGGGTGTCTGTCAGTCACTCCACTCCGTGTGTGAAACAGAGCAACAAAACACACAAAGAATGCTCCAATACGCCACAGACAGACAGTCTAACGCGAATCCAGTTTAGTACGCGTACCGGCGGCTAATGAGCAACGTCAGCAGCGGCAGTGGCAGCGGCGACTAAACTAAGCAAAAACAAAAAAAAAAAACAAAAACAAAAACAACAGCAGCGTCGACTAGAGATTTAGATAGGAGATACGTTCTTTGAACAATTAGAGTCGGCTCGGTAGCAGGCTGCGTGTAAGGCGTATAAGGCGAAAACATAAATCTCGCATATTTCCTATTATGTTCCTGCTTTGACTAAACCAAACCGCTTTCCACAGGAGGAAATTGAGCTGAATAGCTGAAATTGAACAGAAGCAAAACGTGAACTGAAACCTTTTGGCCGTCGAAAGGGACAGGCGATCTGCTAATTAAATATGCGTATATCCGTATAGCGATTCTTATAACCGAACTGATTTGCGACTTGCAAAATCTTTTTTTAGAGCTGCGTGTAATTGCATTCAGATTCATTAACACTTGACAAAAACCGGGGAAATCTTCCGTCAGAGCATAAATTACTCGAGTGCGCTCGAAATAAACAACTAACTCTGGATTATGTAATTGTCATATATGCAGTATTTAAATAATTTTCACTAAATATTCAAATTGGCAAGGTAGGCGCCATGGCGCCCCCAACCGAGACAAGGCTGACATCCGGCTCCAGGCAGCACCGCAACTCTGGTCACAAATCAGCTAGAAGGGAAGGTTATCCCCCTCCTCACCACTCCACAGTGCCAGTGCCCAGTGCCAGCCACCCCATATAGGGGAGGATCCAAGCAAACCGGCTCCGTCTGTTTTTTTTTGTTGCTGCTTGATCGAAAGTCGCCCAAAGAGTTCCTCTGATAAGCAATCCGACGCACGGCTCTTGTCTAAGGTTGTTGTGACATCAGTTTCGGATTCCACAACCACTCGAAAGCAGTCCCTGTGCGACCCCCATCCAATGACAGGTGTGATATGGAGTGGCACGGGCTATCTGTTGACTGGACATTTGAAAGTCGTTCGGGGAAACTCTGCCTCTGGTCGAATGGCTAAAATCGTTATCAGCCAGCGGCGCTCGATGATAAGTCGGTTAAGCTCTGATGAATTTACACAATAAGCGTGTCAAGACGTCCAGTCGACACCTCGTTCATCATTCGTCCATCCATTCATCACTGGGGTACGGTACCCAACGGCGTGGTGTGGGAAAGTGAAGCACTCCAAGTACTGACACAAATTCGATTACAATTTGAATTTCAATTCAGAATTAGTTGAATGATAATTGCATCTGTAATTGCGTGACTTCCATACTTCCCCTTTATCGGGTGCACACCGTAGTAAACCAAAACAATGAAATGAAGCTTTCAGCGAGCAGCGCAGCTTTTGCGATTAAACTTTTTGAGCGAATAAAAAGCTCCCCAACCGGCGCGATTTCAAGTTCAAAGCTAACGGCAACAGCAATGAAGCGATTCAAAACTGGCCGACTATAAATCGAACACAGATTGATCGGATCTGGAGATTGAAAGCTGACAGAGGCTCAAAGTAGCCCCCCGGCCATGCCTTGACCAAATGATAGCCCCCCGTTATCAGCGATGTATACGTAATGCCAGAATACCAGAATTGGTTACAGCACTGGGGGCCTTAAGGTGCAATGGATGACATACGGCTGATAAGCCCGACTGGAAGCGTTACACGCCCCGAAGCTTATGTAGGGGGTGGCACGGTTCTGGGGGTAACTTTGGGAAGCTGCACGCTCATTTGCTCACAACTAACAAATCACACAGATAGACAGAGACACAGATACACAGATACAGATACAGATACCGAGATGCTGCTGGTTAGATGATCTGACTATTTGCGTACAGAACTGGTAGCACTGTTAGATGCTCTATCAAGTATCCATCAGTTAGTGAACGGGCTTCGCGGTGAAAAGTTGTGCCAGACAGAGCAAACCTGTAATTTTTGAGTTCAGAGCTAACGAATCCCATTATGGTTAACACCGTGAAGAATCGTCGTTTCGAGGATGAAGGTGGGTCTTATTCTTTGAATATGATGTCCTTTCAATGCTCAAAGGGTTTCTTAAAGTGACTATTACAAGAACCTGTACTTCTCAATAAATTCAATCACTCTCGCAGCATACCACAATCAGCCTACTACAAGTCCTTAAGATCCAACACAAAGTCTTGAAGCAGGGCCCTGCGATTCTCTCTTTTTAATGGTTTTGTTTTGATTGATGCACAAATCGCTTTTCAGATGCTCTCTGCTCAGTGTAACCTCAAGAATCTCTCAGTTAAACCTCATAATTTACTCAGGCATCATCACGAAATTGCATGTTCTGACGAGCCAGATGCAGCGCCATGATGGGACTCGATACCGTTGATTCTCTTATCCGTTGGAGATAAGAATATCCAAAGAAGACGAGCCCCTCGACAGAAGAATGAAAAGTGGGTGTGTTCCAGCATGGGTAAATCCTGGTGCTTGTAAATGCCGTAAAATCTGGACTCAAAAGCAATTGTAACTGCTAGTTTACCACCCACTTATGGCCATACTAATCTCAGCCGACTCACTTGAGATTAAACTAACAAAGAAATAGTTAAATATACATATATAAAGGCAGATAGATTCAACTGTTGGGAGAGATCTTAAAGGGGTGGGGGGTCCCCATTTCGGCGCCATTCGCAGAATGAATGAATGAATGGAATTTTTCCGCAAGAATCCGCCACGTAATCCAGAGACCAGAAGCGTTCCAAGCCGCAAATAGAAAGGCAAATAGTTATATCTCCTAGTCGCCTGTCTGCCAGATAAGGGATGATAAATTTTAGTTAAATTACGGCAATCACAGAAGAAGAAATAAACCCGAAAAAGGGGTAGAGCTTGAACAGTGTCTGCCATAAATCTATTTCCAGCTGTAGCCAGTTTAAGTGGGCCGAAACGCAAAAGCTATTCCAAATCTTGGACAGACTTCAACAGGCAAGCGACCTACAGGTGACCTACAGCCTTCTACAAAAATATAAAAACCCATCCAGAACCATTCATGGCGCAGATAGCGCGGTCAATAGCTGATAGCAAATCGATTGATTGAACTGAATGGAGTGCGCAGTCGATGATCAGATTACCCACCGCACCTCCTAATCGATTACGTTTTGTTGCAGGTTCCGGTCTGGGAGTACGCCACTTCCAGGTCTTTCTTCTCTTCTGCGCCCTGACGGTGGCCTATGCCCAGCGCGTCAACCTATCCGTGGCCGTGGTGGCCATGCTTGATTCAAACTCCGCAAATCCGGATTTTCCTGTAAGTAAACTTCACTGGCACCAACGTCAGCTCGAAACCTAGCTAACTCTTTTGCTTTTTAGGAGTACAACTGGTCGGATAAGATAAAATCCCTGCTGCTGAGCAGTTTCTTCTGGGGCTATGTGGTCACACAGGTGCCGGCTGGCCAGCTGGCGAGGAAATTCGGTGGCAAAGTGATGATCCTTTCAGGTCTCACCATCTGCTCGGTGCTGAACATCCTAACGCCCCTCTGCGCCAAGTTTGGAGGCTGGCAATTGGTGTGTGCCCTGCGTGTGGTCGAGGGTCTATGCCAGGGCGTGGTCTTCCCATCCACGCACACTATCCTATCCCAGTGGGCGCCTCCGAAGGAGCGCGCCACGCTCGGCACGTGCGCATATTCGGGCAATCAGTTTGGCACGATCATCATGCTGGCCACCAGTGGAATGTTGGCTGCCTCATCGGCTGGGTGGCCAAGCATCTTCTACATCTCAGGCGGAGTCGGATGCGTATGGTCGGTCGTGTACTTCCTTTGGGGCGCCAGTTCGCCGTCGGAGTGCAAGAGCATCTCGTCGGAGGAGCGGAAGCTGATTGAAATGGCGCAGGCCGGTGAAGTGGCCACTGTACAGGATCAGGCAAAGGAGCAGCCGCAACCCCGTACACCCTGGCTGAGCATATTCACATCGCCTTCATTCTTAGTGCTGATCGTGGCGCACTCCACTCACAACTGGGGCTTCTGGACCCTGTTGACTGAGATTCCCAGCTACATGAAGAACATCCTGGGCAAGGACATCAAGTCGAACGCCCTGCTCTCGTCCCTTCCCTACTTCTGCATGTTCTGCATGTCGTTCGTCTTCTCCGCTATATCCGCCCAGTTGAACAACCGCAACTGCATTTCCACAGCCGCCAGTCGCAAGCTGTTCAACACGATTGGAACCTGGATCCCTATGGTCACGCTTATCGGACTGGGCTATACGGGTGCGGACCAGGGCACCTTGGCCGTTGTCCTGCTCTGCTTCACCGTAGGCACGAACGGCGCCACTTACCTGGGCTTCAACATGAACCACATAGATCTGTCGCCGAACTTTGCCGGCATCCTAATGGGCATCACCAACTGCGTGGGCAATATCATGAGCATAATCGCCCCGTTAGTGGTTGGTGTCATTGTCACCGATGAGGTAAGATACTCGGCTACACCTGTCACCTCCCTTCAATTACTGATTCGGTTTTTCTGTTGTGTTGTTCTTTACAGAAAGATCCCGATCTGTGGCGCATAGTATTCTTCATTGCCGCTGGCTTCTACCTGGTGGGCAACGGGCTGTTCGTGATCTTCGGTAAGGCCGAAGTGCAGCCCTGGAACGATCCCCCGGTGAAGCCCAGGCGCAACTCCACGCCTCAGGTGGAGTCGCAGCACTAACACCGACGAATTTAGCGAAATGTGAAGAGAAACCGCTAGTCAGCTAGTTCAGTTTTCCACCAAAACCCAGCCGAACCGGATCCGATCAGATCCGATCCGATCCGGTGGTCGGCCAACTGTCAATCCTAATTGCGCAATGAAGCGCTATCCAATGCATTTTCGCATTGTCCGAACTAATTCGCGCTCCGTGTATATTTTTGTATATTTGTAAACTATTCGTTACTGTATTCTGTATTCGCGTTCCCCTCGTCTTAGGTTTAGTTATAGTGACTAATTATGTAAGGGCACTCACAAAGTGAGGCGAAAATAATAATTATATTGTACTATATGTGTGCTGTATCAGACTACAGCTAAAGCATGTGAAAAGAAAACCACAAGATGGTTTGATTCTACAAAGCGGTAGGGGGAACGAGACCGCCACAACCTCATCCAGTGGGCCTTGACATACATACATGCATTATTGATCAGAATACGTTCATATCTATTGCTCTGAGATGTCAGGTTAAAATACTTATTAGGTCTCCATAGACATGTTAGTGCTTGACTCCTTTGTATTTCAGGACGAGGAGTGCGTCATTGGCAGGTGGTTCTGATCTTCTGGGGCCTGTCAGTAACCTACGCCCTTCGTGTCAATCTATCTGTGGCAGTCGTGGCCATGACAGATTCGGCCTCCGTGAATCCCGACTTTCCGATAAGTAAACCTCACTTCATGCGAACCACAGGATAGGTTCGCATTCCTATTAATAGGAATACGACTGGGCGGAGAAGACGAGAGCTCTGTTGCTGAGCAGTTTCTTCTGGGGTTATGTGGTCACCCAGGTGCCGGCTGGCCAACATGCCAAGAAATTTCGTGGCAAAATAATGTTCCTTTCTGGCCTCCCCGTCTGTTCGCTGCTGACTATCCTCACGCCCCTCCGCGTGTAAATTGGAGACTGGAAAGCGGTTTGCGCTCTGCGTGTGGCGTGTGGTCTGTGCCAGGGCGTGGTCTTCCCATCCGTCCACACGATCCTGTCCAAATGGATGCTGGCCAAGGAGCGCGCCACGCTCGGCACGTGCGCCTATACAGGCAATGCATTTGGCACGATCATCATGCTGGCAATCAGTGGACAGCTGGCTGCCTCATCAGCTGGGTGGATGGATTCGGCTTAATATGGGCGATCGTGTATTTCATTTTTGGCGCCAGCTGTCCGTCGCAGTACAAAAGAATAACGCAGGAGGAGAGGTCGATGATTGAACTTGCGCTGTCCGGGCAAGTAAACCAAACGGAACTGAAGACCCCTTTGCTCCGAATCTTCAGCTCGCCCCCGTTTCTGGTCCTAATTGTTTCGCACAGCGTCTTCAACTGGGGCTTCTGGACACTCCTGACAGAGTGTCCAAGCTACATGAAGAGCGTCCTTGGCAAGGACATCAAGTCAAACGCCGTGCTCTCGTCCCTTCCTTACGTCAGCATGCTCTTTATGTCTTTCGTCTTCTCAACGATGTCGGCCCAATTGAACAACCGCAACTGCATCTCCACGGGGACCAGTCGCAAGCTGTTCAACACGATTGGTCTATGGATCCCCATGATCACAATCATCGGTCTGGGGTATGTGAGGGCCGACCAGTCCACCCTGGCCGTGGTCCTGCTATGCTTCACCGTTGGAATGAGCGGCGCCACTTACTTGGGCTTCAACATGAACCACCTGGATCTGTCGCCGAACTTTGGAAAAAAAAAACTTTCGGCCGAACGCCGAAAGTAAAATTTACTGTCGGTTCTGTGTGACTTGTCTCGCATTCTTGGAATAATATGCGGATTTGACAACTGTATTAAGGAAATGGATTCGAATATTGAAGATTCAGAGGAACAATTGGGTGGATGGGAATACTTATAAATATATAAGTATGGCGCCACAGCCATAAGGAAAAGGATGTTCTTGAGAAGGGCCATAGCGACCATAGAAGTGGTGTCTATGAGCAACTACATTCCTTAGGCATGTAGTAAGTATAACTGCCATAAGAATGATATCTTATCTGCTTTCGTAGCTCAGGATTCTATAAAGTTATAACTGTATCACCGTATATCATGTACCATCATCAGTTAAAATAAATCCTTACATCGAAGTGTATCTATAAAGAATATGCGAATCGAAAATAAGCAAGTGATATTTGTACATGACGTTTACCTGTGCAGCCAGCGCCGTCTGGTGGTAATTACATAAAATGCTAGCTGTTTTAAAGATCTCATGTATAGATCACACATTTTCACACCACTACGATCATTTTTAGAATTTCTAGCACATTGTCGACCGGTGGCTTTGAAAAACTTTCCACGAAAATAGTTTTTTTTTTGGCGGCTTAACTCACGTTTAAATAAAGGGGCTTAAGTGGGCTAAGCTCGTTTTTTAATCGGTATATTGAGACGGTATATTTCGGTATATTTCTGAGGGTGACTGAATATATATTTTGTTGTTTTGTTGACAAATAAAAAATGGAGCACGCGGTGGACACCGTACCAGAAGACGTTGCACCCAAATTGGAAAATAAATTCAGCTCTGTACTGAAGCCCTCGGCAAACACGGTCGTAAAGTGCTTGAAATGCGACAAGGTGTATATATTTCCCGCTGACAAAGACGACTGCCTGGCGCACCTGTATCTGGAGCATCGGCTGGTCATCGCCGATGTGGAGGATATCGCGCTGTTGGAGGATTATTTGCAATACTGGCAAAAAGAGTTTCATAGTGCGCGCCTAAAATGCCTTTTGAGTGATTCTTTTATATAATTTGGTGTCTTTCAGGCCATGAATTCGAGCAATACTGCACGACCATGTTCCTGGACCAGTTGCCCGATGGAACATATGCCAGAAACGAGAAATATTATTTGCTCTGTGATATACTGCCGCAGGACTACGAGCTTCGCCAGCGACTGCGTGAGGAGCGACTGAAAACCGCCCTGGAGCGACACCATTTCGAGCTCACGGACCGGAACTTCTCCAAGGAGTGTCTTTTCTGCAGAACCGTAATCAAGGGCCTTAGGGCCGACTACCTGGATCACTTGTTTGACAAGCACTTTCTGCTGGTGGGAAAGCCCGAGAAGTTGGTCTATGTGGATGAGCTGCTCGACCAGCTGGAAGCAAATTTGAACCAATTGATTTGCCTGTACTGCGAGAAGGTCTTCAAGGATAGAACCACGCTGAAGGAACATATGCGCAAGAAGGGGCACAAGCGCATCAATCCCAATCGCCGCGAGTACGACAAGTACTTCCTAATAAACTACAATCGGGCCCCGGCTCCGGCACCTCGAAAGCAGCTGCACCAGAAACGACGACAGCCCTCCGGGTCAGTCTCCGCAGACGTGGAAAACATGGACTTTGACAAGCACTTTGCTCGTCCAGACTCGGAGGGCGAGCATGATTCGGACTGGTCTGACTGGGCCGGGGATGGCGAGCCACATTCGCTCAAGTGTCTCTACTGCCCGCATTTCGGCGACCATTTCGCTGGCCTCAAACAGCACATGATAGATGCCCATAGCTTGGATTTCGATGTCGCCACCAGCGCACTGAACTTCTATCAGCGCGTCAAGGTGGTCAACTATATACGTCGCCAGCTGTGCATGCGTCGCTGTGTTAGCTGTGACATCCAGTATGATGATCTCGACTTGCTAACCGAACACATGGCCCAGGAGTCTCATTGCGGTATCGGTGAGCGATCCAGTTGGGACAAGCCAGAGTTTTTTTTCCCGTACATGGAAAATGATGGCTTGTTGTGTGTCCTGGACGATTCAACGGGCGACGAGCCTGATACCGATGTGGTTCGCATCATTTCCGAGGACAGTCTGGCGCAAGTCAACAAGGATGCGGAGTCGTTATCATTAGAGAATTTCAAGATATAAAATGTATATTTTAGAGATATTATTAAAACAGTTTTTGTTTTCATCGGTATATTTGCGGTATATTTTGAAAATGAGATGGTATATTTCTAAGTATCGGACGGTATATTTAATCGATATATCGTCTCTAGCACAAGTGACATCATTTAAAGGGAAAACAATAAAAAAACATTGAAAATGGACGCCCTGGACATACTGGAGAAGCGCATCGATGCATTAACCCGAGTCCTGGGGCCCGTGCGGGAGGCGGAGAGCGACGAGGGAATAGTGGACTCTCTTTGTTCCGCCAACGCCCTACTCAGTGAGGCGACAACAGGACGTGCCCAGCTGCAGCAGTGCGTGGGACGGGCGGCCGAGCTAGAGAAGTATTTGGACCCCAACTTTCTGGACGAGCACCAGCAGGTGCGCTCCAAGGAAGTGTACCTCAATGCGGTAGCACCCGAACTGCACACCCAGGCCGAACAGCTGGAGCGGATAAAGCAACTGGAGCCGGCCCTGGGCGCGGAATACTTCCGTAGCATACCCAGCGAGTGCCTGGATCAGCTGAAGCAGGTCACCCAAAACAACGGGGAGTATGCACAGCAAAGCGAACTTATCGAGGAGAGCCTCATATTGGCTATGAAGCGGTACGGGGAGATCCAGGAGGGTCTGCTCACCTCGCTGGATGCCATGAGCGCGCGCCTTGATCAGGTGGAGCAGCGCATGGATCAGAAAAAGAAGAGCGATCTCAACAAAGATGTGCCTCCCAAGGACTGATGACTGAGCACATCCATACGAGACTGCTGAAAGTATTTAGATAAGATTTCCGATCTACTCTCCACCTACATATACTCGTTTCCGAACAAATAAAACTGGTCGGATTCCCTGGTGGGGAGAATGGATCCAAGATGCTTTTTCCATTGTAAGTTTCCTTTTATCGTTATTTTATGCTAGCACAATATAGAATTCTACCAAATTAAACCTAACAGATAGACAAAGATTATAACTCGGGGAATACATTCCCTTTCGAATCGAAAGTGGAGGTATTGGCCCTAACTTCGATGATGGGGGGCACAGTCTTAGCTCAACCATGGAGTATTAACCTCCTCCAGTTTCGTTCCTAGAATCGCATTTCGTTGCGCTGAATCCGCTCGTAGACGGACTGGGTGAGCGGGGCATAGACACCATCCGATCCTGCATAGAACAACTCATCCTCGATGGCCGCCGGATCGAAGCCCTGCTGCTGTAGCTCTACTTTTCGCAGCTTGAACGTGCCCGTTAGGTCGATCTTCCGGAGGAAGCGCAGGAACTGCGGACGTGCATAGCTGGGCAGAGCCTTAGTGAGCTCCTGGCCCAGCATCTCCACCTTCACTTCTCGCGTGGGATCGTATATGGCGGCCATACCGGCCCGGCCTTCGGTTTGGGGTATGCTGACCCCATACACGATGACATCCTTGTATCCGGCCAGGTTGCTGAGCTGTGCCTCCACCTCGCTAGTAGAGACATTCTCTCCCTTCCAGCGGAAGGTGTCGCCGGTGCGATCCTTGAAGTAGAGATAGCCCCGTTCATCGGACACCAGCAGATCGCCAGAGATAAAGGCCATATCGCCCTTTGCAAAGACATCGTACACCACCTTCTTGGAGGAGGCCTTCGTGTCCACATAGCCGAGGAACTCCCGGCAGGGATTGCCCTTCACGATTTTACCAATAAAGACGCCCGTTTCGTTGGGCTCACAGCGGTCGCAGAGACCCTTTTTGTTTCTCAGCGGCACACCCGTGTGGGGATCGGCTCGTATGATGGATATGGGATAGATCTGCGGTAGTACCCGTGAAACGAAGCCAATGGCTCCCACAGTGCTGTCGTTGTTCATGATATTGGCGTTGCCCTCGGTAGCTCCATAGAATTCACCGACGCGCTGGATGTTAAAGCGCTCAACGAAGTGCGGCCAGATTTGTGGACGCAGTCCGTTTCCAAAGACCATGCGCACCTGATGCTTTCGGTCATGTGGTGCCGATGGAGTGGACAATATATAGCGGGCCATCTCACCAATGTACTGGCCAATCTGTCGTGGATGCATTGCGTGAGAAGAGAAGGTGTTATCAATTAAATTACTGCACTTACGGTGCACTGGAAGCGTGCGCAGTCGGCAAAGTAGCCAGAGGCACTGAATTTCTTGCGTATGACCACCGTGGAGCCAAAGAGCAGGGCCTGGCCAATGCTCATCACGCCGCCAGCAGTGTGATAGAGAGGAAGGGGTGTATAGAACACATCCTGGTCTCTAAAACCGAGGGCATAGTGGATGCCGGCGGCAATGAAGAAGTAGCTACAGGATAGAAATAATGAACAAGAAATGCTAAGCAGGAAAGGACTATCAGGAGAAAGAAATACTCACCGCGAGTGCGTGATGACCGCTGCCTTGGGCAGACCAGTGGTGCCAGAGGTGTAGATGTAGACCAGCTTGTCGTGGTGATCCGCCCGAGTGGCGCCTGCGGCCACTTTATCTTTTGCAGCCGTGTCCAGCAGTCCGTTTAGTTGCTGGGCCAGACCCTGACTCAAGCCCTCGTCAGCAGCATGGGCCTGGCTGCCCTCATCATTGAACTGATAGAGTCCGACATGGGCGGGTAGATCCTTCGCAATGTCCATCACGGCCGATCGGAAGCTGGCCCCGTAAATCAAGGCCGTGCACTGGCCTACAGTGATGCTGTGCTGGAGGGAGGCTCCTCGCAGATTCGTGTTGATGAGGGGTGTAATAACACCTATCTTTGAGAGACCCAGCCAGGTGGCCACAAACTCGGCTCGATTCTCGAGTAGCAGTCCCACCACATCGCCCTTTTTGTACCCGTGACTGTGGAAGACGTTGGCCACGCGGTTCGAATGCTCGTTCAGCTGGCGGAAAGTCCACTGCTGGGACTCGCTCACGATGGCCAGCTTGTCCGGGTGCCGAGCCACACTGGCCTCGAAAATGTCGCCAATGTTGAGGTTCTTGCGCTCCTGTCGCTTCACAAACATCAGAACTCGAATATAGGCAATGAGAGCGCTAAAACGAAAATAGTTTCGATTCAGAGTCGCTTTCGGAAGTATTTGCTATGCAAAGAGCTTACACAATATCGCGAGGTCCTGTCACCGCCGCTATGTAAAACCATCTCCAGCCGGGCCGCACCAAGAGTGTTGCTATCACGCTGCCATAGAGAGCCGCCAGTCCCGACCAAGCTCCTAGGTAATACCAGATCATCGCTGTTCCTCCCGAGAGGACGGGTACCATTATCCACTGTAGGTAGCTTCGCCAGTTGGACCTCTTCTGTTCCATCGGATTGTGACTGGGATCTATGGCTATGGAGACCTAAAGTAGCAGATGAAAGACTCTTAATACGTCGCGTTAACGTTGAATGTAGAATGTCGCTCTTGTCACCAACTAATGATCCACTCGATCCCCCACTAACCCCTCCATTAGGAGTTTATTCAAAGCTTTTCCTGATCTTCTGCTAATTGCTTGCTGTTTTGCTTGCTCTTCAGTACAGGTAGTCCGCATTAATCATTTAGCACTTTATTTAAGCAATTCGCAAACAACCAAAACGAAATATAAACACAGAAAAAAAAATATAAAGATAATATGTGGGTACTAGTATCCGTGTCTATGACCAATATGTCCAGCGGAGATATCCTTGAAGTGCATCATAGCCTTGTGCTCCGCATCGGTAGTCAACTTGTTTGAGAGACGTATCAAAACGCAAATAGTCAGAGCAGAAGTGAGGCCCACCATAAAGAACAGGATCTAAGATTGGTTATTATAGCGGGGGTGGTTATAAGGATATTCCCTTTACCTTCTGCCAGATGGTCAGAGGCTGGCCCTCCTCTTCCATTAGGAGATCGCTGTCGTCGCTGCTTGTCATCATTTTAGGAAAATTTTTGTTCAGCTTTTTCGATTCTTCTCTTGTTCGGTTGATTTGGAAGTTTGTGCTAGTATTTTTTTGACAGTTGTTTCGAGGGAAGTTGGTTCTGTCATGTTGAACGGTAATGATGTCACATTGAAATGCATCTTTAAACGTGTTTTGGCTCATTTCTTCCCCATTAAAATGTGTGATATTTACCCTCTATTAACTACGATTTTCAGTTGCCGTGATCTTGACTTTCAAGTTCGCTAAAGCGCCAAAAATACACTCGAATAGGACCACATCAAGATGCAGTAATATTTCCACTAAACCTGATAAAAAAAGACCCCAAACAGACGACAGTTCGCATAATACTCTCAAGACCCAGACCTAGTCCCGGTTATGACCAGCAGCAGACAAAAGTAAACTGGTTTCAGTTTCAGTTTAAGATCTTGTTGTACTCTTTGAAAGGGGTATTACAATTTTTATCAGATGTTTGCATCTACTGCATGTGTATGAACTATCTTTAAAGGTCGTTAACCATTGCTTGAAAATCATGTGACTTCATGACTTTCTTCATAGCTCATCGAAGATTTGATTCAAATTGGATTATCATATAATATGTAAGGGTATCCTTAACTTCGGCCAAGATCTGATTTTATTTTTAGTAGTTTTAATGGCAACGTGAGTATTATTGTTGTCAGATAAGGTGGCGGCCCCAAACCAACTGAATCACAAAGCAAATCAAGCGAAAACCAAAAATATGTTAACCATAAATACTTGTATGCCACCTCTGTGTGTGTGTGTGTGTATATATATTTTGTAAATGGTATTTACCTGGGTGGAGTTCAAGGCCGTCGGGCCATGGCTGGGGGCAGCAGCATCAATAGTGGCTGTGGCAGCCCCATCATCAGCGGGAGCGGTGCACATGGTGTCGGACTTAGCAGCACATTAACAGTGGCTTTGGCTAGTATGTGGATGGGATTAACAGCTTTGGAGTTGGCTCTGTTGTTTCTATCGCTTTTGATGGCTACTTTCGTAGCGAAATTATAGGTAATTAGGCGCCAGGCGCAGTTGGAAGGAGGAGACAAAAAGAGAGAAGAGTTGAGCGATAGATGGAGACGTGGAAATGGGGAGAGGAGATGTACAGGGAAACCACAATTGTAGTGCAAAGGTGACACAAAAGAAAGAAGATGAAGAAAAATGGCCTGTTTTTGAGGCTAACTGATGCTGTGACGCTATTGTTTTAAGTGTATCCATTTGTGTGCGGATGTGTGCGTGAGTAAGTACTTTCAAGGTGAGTTTTGGGGTCTGCTCTGCCTGTTTACGTGCGTCGAATCGCAGAGTCAGCAGAAACTTACGCTTAAGCTGCCTAATAAAACCCGTTAATGGGTGTTAAAGCCATGTCTAATGTCGGAGACAATTAAACCACGTTTATTATTTAGGAAGTAAAACTATTGTACGTAGCAGGCGGTGGCATACAAAGAGAAAACTGAGGATTTAAAAGATCAATGAAAGATATTTAGGAAGAAATAAAGGTTTAGAGATCTTTAAAGGGTCATAAATCTTTTTATATATTTATGAATTAAGACTCCCACTTCTTAAATATGTATTTAGTTACTGGAAAAATTTCCAGTGAAGAAAAAAATATGAGAAAACTCTATCAAGACCTTGACTTCAAATGGGTTGATTAGATTGAATTGGTCTCTGATTGCTAAAGCTTAGATCAAATATCCAAACTCGTTGAAGTCAGTTTATAAACCTCTGCTTTTTCTTTGCCCGTGTTGAACATTTCCTAGCACCGCATAAACATCACTATCTCACTTTCTGTTGGACTTAAAACTTAAATTTCAGGCCACAGGCTGCAAATTAGTTTTTTTTCTTTTACAACATTTGGCGCATGCAAAAATTAAGTGTTGTGGTTGTTGTTTGTCTCTGTTTCTGTTGGTGGCATACATCGGCAGACATCATTAAGAGCCCAACCTCGTCAAGCGCCTGAGACGCGGATGCGGTTGAAGCTGCCACTGATGCTGCGCGACGCTTCATCACTTTCACTAAAGTCTTCTTCTCCTTTCTTTTGTTATATTTCTTTGCTTATGGTTCCCTCACATCTCGTACTGCTCTGGGGATTAAGATATCATTGATCTGTCTTGGGGATCGCGCATCATCCGAGTGTAAGATCAGAGAGGAAATTGCGTATGAAATTGTTAAGCACTTGATAACGCTTGATTGATTCACGGCACGCACTGGGTAGAACATCAGCCGGGGCCTCGGATAGATGTCGGAGTTTTGGAGTTATGGGAGCTTAAAGCCGGTCGCGTCGTTCGGCCAGCAGCTTCGTTCATCAACTGCGCCCCAAAAACCTGCCAGCAGCCGGTCCGCAGCCTGAAGCTGAAGCTCTGCCAGCGCCGCAACAGGTCGCAAACGGCGCACGAAGCTGGCTTCGGGTCGAGGCAATAAGCTCTGCACCTGAGTCAAAGCCAGAGACAGAGCCACACAGGCCACACAGACAGGCAAACCAGGTGAGCCAGGTGAGCCAGGTGTGTCTGAGTGTGTCTGAGTGTGTGTTAGTGTGTTTTTGCATTGTTATTAAGCTGAATTGTCGGCTGCGATTCTGAGATTGTGGTTTGCACGTGATTATTCCGCATGCAACATGGAATTTGGTCTTTTATGCGGGTTTCCCTTTTGGCCATCAACATGTCAACAACCACACAGCGTCAAGAATGCGCTTCTAATGGGCGGCGGAGGAGTACACTCCAACTCCGGGCGAAGGAGGAATGGCAAGTGCAGAGAAAGGGGTCCAAAGAGTGTGGAAAGAGGACAGGCATTTAATTCAAAACACGTGTTTCACTTTAAACTCTCTTTGTACACCCTTAGAGGGAGCATATACACAGAGATACACACTATATCGTGTGACCTGTATCTTATAGTTCGCTATGAATGCAAAACAAAACTCTTTCTAACAGCTTCTTTGGAGGCTTATATACTGAACCACATATCACTTTCTGCTGAAAGATAGGGAGGGATCGTTTGGGAGAGTATTAAAAGCCTCGGCTATATGGATTGGGTTGCTTTTCTTGTTTGAATATGCTTCTGTCTTTGCTTCTGTCTCTGATTCTTTTTCTGTCTCTGCCCTTACATTTCCCTCTATATATGTATGTCTTAGGAATTGATGCGTTACCACTGCCCCTCTTCAAAACCCTGCAACAAGTGCACTGCAGACAGTTTATTACATATCGTTTTGCATGGTGATTTTCCCAGCTCAGATCGTTTGCCATGACTAAGCGAAATTACTTTAAACAGCCAGGAAAGAGAGAGATAGCAAGGGTACGTACTGAGGGAAGAGAGAGGCGGCAGGGCAAAGCATTCGGCTTTAAGTGAGGGGAAGATGTGGTGGGGTCACAGGAGCGGGCGGGGGAACTGGGTCAATTGGGTGTTGCACAACCAGAATTTGCCAGCATTTTACTAATCAACACAAATCTAAAGCACTGTAAAGCAGCGCAACGCTTACCAATACTGAATAAAAGTGTCTTTCTTTGAAAGATAAGTGATATAAACTGTCTTAACATATCACAGATACACGTACATATCTTTGAGAACGTTTGGGTCAAAAGCGGATAGATAGACGACTGTTGATGGTGATCGTACACGCAATGACTGGCACTGCTATTAATTGCAGTCATAAGAAAACAACAAGCTTTTCATAGCGAATCACTTGTCGTCCAACAATCAATATGCCTGATTCTACGAGTCTTGTTACGTACTATGGACTGGAAACCCCGTTAACAAGGTTCTCATTCAGGTTAACTACTAGCTGCAATACCATATACCAAAAGCTCTTCTACTATTATTATTAACTGAGCTTTAGCTTAGCCAGCAATCAAAAGACGATCATGACAACGACTTGAATTAGAGAGCAAAGCATTTCTGATGAAAAGTTCTGATGATAAAAGATACCAATTATGAGGGGTATTGTCTCCTAAGTAGATCAAAATTTCTAGGCAGGTATTTCCCCCGATTTTAGAGAAAACTACCAAATAAACTTGTACAATTTGCAACCTCTCTCATCATAATTTGCTTGCTTACATATTTGTTTACCTGATCATCGTATTTCCCATCTTTCAGCAGAAACTTTCAATGGCATTTCATGGCTGTTTCTGCTCTAAAAATTTTTATTGTCCCTGCCCATCAACAGCTCGACTCACGCCTCGCACCAATAACAAGGCTCCAAAGATATGCCCGACATTCAATGGTCTTTTTCACACATACCCGAATCCCACCAGACATAAAGTGTCTGTGCAAAAATGCATATACAATATATGTACATGTATGTTTATGTACATGCTTCCCTCTCCCTTGTATATAGTTTCGATCCCCTTCAGTGATCGGGCCCTTTGCCCTTGCGGCTCTTGTTTAGGGAATGGGAAGAACGATGCTGCCTGCCTGAGTTGCTTCTTGTGGATTTTGTCAAGTGGATTTTTGTCGAGTTTTGAGATCATTAAAACAACATCGTTAGTGCGTCCATAATGAAGTACTAAAGAGGAACCCCAAGAAGCAATCCCCAGAGAAGCGCAACTAAGAGAGAGAGAGAGAGTGCAGAGAGTCCCAAAATGAAGGAATTCAATTTCAAGGCAATATTTTATGTGTCTCTGCTCTTGGCACATGATTAGTTCTAGAGACGAGCTGACGCCTCTCCTACGAGCGCCGAATGAGTCTATGCTAAGTCCCTAGATCCGAGTGTATATACTCTCTGGTAATCCGACTATATATGGGATATTGTGTTACGCTCCGCTCTGTGGGATTGATGGATGCGACCGTGAAAAGCGCGGCGTGGAAAACTCTGCCTGTAACATCAGCATCGACAGCCACATCGACGTTCCTACATATCCATCAGCGGAGGCATAAATAATTTTCGCCTTTGGCGTCTCTGTGGTTGGGTTTTAAGGGTATATCGGACAAGATGGTGGATTAGTTGCTGGGAACATAATTCACTTTCCAATGTATTACAGCGCGGAAAACCTTTCTGATTAATGTTTTATTTAAATTATTTCAGAGTTTGAGTATATTTACCATATATGCATGTAGTTTCCTAACAAATATCTCTGAATGGCCCTACCCCACTTT